TTCATGTGCTGATTGAAATTGGCCACGTTGGCCTCACACAGCTCGCACACTACCACTTCATCTCGATCGTCTGTCTCACACACGTGCTGTGAGTTGATGTACAACAGACATGAAGATGTTTTAGAGAAACAATACACATTCATGCAATCTAATCTGAACCTCTGACAGATATGAATGAGCAGCCAGTTATCAGTACTGAGAATAAAGATCGAGTTATCCAAAACATGAATTTCATTAGTTGCATGATTTAAAGTTTCAGGGGCAAAGTCCTAATGCAGGAAGATTTCATGGGTAATGTTTAACCAAACAAATGGGTTTATTTCAACGTGCATGTAAGTTTACTCGACGCAATAAGTGATGAAGCGAAACCGCAGAACCGTGATGGCAGCTCTAAAGTCACACACCCATGTTGGCCAATCCAGTACCTCCGGGATCCACATTCCCAGAATGTCAGTGTCACTAGCGAGGTCTTGGCCAAACATGGCCTCCATGGTCTCCTCATCAAGGTCCATCTCCAGCTCTTCATCCAGGTTGAAGTCATAGAGTGCACCTGGGTCTTGTTGCTGCTGTAAGGACGAGACCTCCCGACGTGACTGGCTGTGGTGGGCCTGCACTGAGCGGTACAGTCCAGCTACAAAAGAATCAACGTTTCCCATGAGCTTCTGAGCGGAAGATAAACGTTCACTGTCTTGTAAAGAAAGGTAGGATATACACTTGTGAAATATTCTCACCAGCACGAGCCAGCAGTGTGCGTGCAGCCAGGTCAAAGCGGTGTTTCCTGCCAGCAGCAGAGCGGCCTCTGAGTGGGGCACTGCTGGATGCAGATGCATTGTCCTGCTCCAGACCTTCAGGACTAGAAGACAAAGTATACACGCTTTAGAGTATTCATAGTCGCAGAGTAGCTGACATTTTGCAGAAAAAGAAACACACTCAATAAACACGTCATCCCGTGTCAGGGAAGTAGGCTGGGCACCTCTGTTCTGTGTTGGGGTGACTCTCAGTACTTTCCATTTCTCATTTGGGAGGGTTGTAAAAGCACCACAGACCTACATTCTCTAACTTCAGACTCAGCAGAATTTCTTTAAAAAGAATCTTTTTTGTCGTCAGTTGAATTAAACAGTGAGTTTAAGTTTCAAACAAGAGAAAATGCATCTATGTGAGCGAGCTCTAAATACTTCGAGCAGCTTGGCCATAAATATCACGCTAAGTTTTAATGATTAAAAAAAAAAACAACAACACTTGGGTGCAAAAATGTGAAATCACTTTGGATTTTCTCTCATCTACACAGGTTTAAAAGGAAACGTACTCCCTCAAATTTATACATACACATTACTAATATTGGTGAGATGAGCCTTAGCAAGACCAGATGCTTTTGGTGACCATAGACAACTTTCTGACACGATTATAACTAGGGCTGCTCGATATAATGATATATATCGGATGATGATATGAAAACGTCTGTCGTGGTGTCTCAAAATAAACTGTTTACGGTAATATTTTGTCATCGTTCTGATGTCACTGTAGTGGCTGTATTCATTTCTTAAAGTTCTCTCTTTCTCTTATATGTAATATCACCACACTACGGACGGACAAGCACCTGTTTTTATGCGTTGTCATTAGCAACAACGACGGTAACAGCATCGCATGGCTCCGCCGTCCGTTTGATTATTTTCCGCATAAACCTTTCAAAATAAAGCTGAAGATCCTGTCGAGATTTTTCAAAATAAACTGAATTATGTGAAATAGCATGCAGAGTGTTTACGGACGAGAAGCTAAAAAGAGCCGTCAGGTGCTAAAAAATAAACCTTAGAACAGGCCGTGTATAAGTACTCACAAAGAAAATTGCGGCCGTTTCAACTTATGTAACACTCGACTCCAGCTACACGACGCCCAGCTGGAAACACTTCACGCAAGTTGAGTTGCTCGAGATTCACAGAATATACAGAAAATATAAAATTTTGTGATACATGTCGCTGTCGGGACATGAGACAATAAATGAGATTTTGGTCATATCGCACAGCCCTAATTATAATTGGATATTTGACGCTGTTCTTCACAGAACAGTTCATTTAAATGAATCGATTTCTCAGCCCCGCCCGTCGAGCTATACGATAACCCGACGGGCGGGGCTGAGATAGATTTTGGTCGCATGACCGGAGATATCGCTAGCTCCGGGACATCGGGCTAGCGATTTTGCGAGCCCTGTTTTGTGTTTTTTCACTTTAAATTGGTTTAAAAAGAAAAAGCTGAAAATTTAAATAGTTAAAAGTTGAAATGTGAATAGTTGGTTTTTTTATTATACGATTTATTTATTACATTTTATGTGGCGTGAATAAATAAAAGTATAGTTACGGTGGCCCCTACAGACAAAACACGTACAAAACACAACAGAAGTGCTCCAGGATGCTAGGGGGCAGTGTTGAGCTTTTGTTACTTAGTGGCTACACAAGCCAGCAAGTACCAACGACCGGATTTGGTGTGTGGTAGTAACAGGTAAATGAATTTTAAATTATTTGACTATATATGAGTGCTTGTGTATAAATACACAAACAATACACACATGCTTCCAATTGTGTAATTTAAGTGATCTAGTAGCTCTGCTTTGAAGTTCAGTTAAAGCTAGAAATGTGTTTTGGAGTTTGTACGTGCTTTGTCTCACCGCATATATTTATATATAAACATATATAAATAAAACCACTTTCTTTTTTTACATTAGTAATTCCTTTTGTGCGTAATTTTATATTATTGTTAATAATAAATTAATTAAAGCAACAAAACAACCTGAAGAGCCGGTTGGGAGCCGAAAGAGCCAGAAATCCCATCAGTATTTCTTAGATCTTCACGGAGTTCCTTGGACTTTTCCATTTTTATATCAAAAGGGCGAAGCTATCAGTTGTCAATCATGATCAATAATAAGGAATGAATAGGCTTCGGCCTTATCACTGTAGAACCTTCAGTACTAGTTAAAAGACTCAGTTGAATGTATGTTTGATCCTGTGTGGATTGGAGAAAATCCCAAATAAATTCAAATTTGTGGACCCAGTTTTTTTTAATTCATTAAAGACGCCTGGAATAAGAGCAGTTACTGTGACATACATGTCCATGATGAGTGTATGTGAACTTCTAACCACAACTTTTAAACATTACTTATCCTACTACTACTCTACTTAATTACTGTTGTAATTAAAATGCAACACGCTGCGAGCAATGAGCACCCTGTTGTACCTTTCGCTGAAACCTTCCTCCACTTCGGAAGTGTCTGCGCTGGCTATGACCCCGGGAGAGCACAGATATGAGTTTTTATCCAGAGACTTGGCTCCAGTGATTGCTGTGGCACCAGGACAGGACGAGTCGGGGGCTTCACCGCTGACACCGCCGCCTCTGGCGTGGGGCTCATCGTGCTCGTCCTCCGTTCCTGGATGTTCGATCATCCACATGGCTAGCACGGTGATGTTCTGAGCATCTACCTCTCCTCGAGCACCTGGGATAAAAACATATCATAACAGGTCGACTATTTGTAGGGGAAATCTTGTTATGCCACGTCACAGACACGTAATGACGCACAGAAACTTTGTTACACAGGAGGAAAAGGTAGGGAGCATTCTGAGAACATTCAAGATTTTAGGTAGAAAAAATAAGTCAACATCTTGATTGTTCCTGGAATATAATCTTTTTACCCTGACTTCATGTATTTGTAAATGGACAACAATGGGCCGGTTACTGCAGATAGACTGACCAGTGGCTTCCAGAGCTTTAGTGATCTGGCGCAGGGAGAAGCCCATCTCCAACAGAGGCACAGCAATCGCAGGTGGAGGGGGAGACGTGGACAGTCTGCTGCTGGGGTCCGACAGGGCTGAAGGAAACAACAATGACATCATCATCATCGGGGTCAGGCGGCTGAATACAGTATCAAAAGATGCAAAAAGTAAAACGGAATTATATTAAAATATCTGTTTGTGTTTTCTATTTTTTCAACTTTTCCATAATGGATAAGGTCCAAGCTTTCCACAGGCCAACCAAAGAATACTCCTTGCAGTTTGGCATACTTACAGGTACCTGTTCTGTTCTGTGGTCTGGAGGGCTGGGAGTCCGGAGAGGTGAGGCTCTGTCTGCGGCCAACCTCGTCTGACGGAGAGGTCGGTAGGGATGACACTGGAGGAGTCTGGGCTCGACGTGTCGGAACAAGAGTGGTGGTGGGGTAACTGGAGAACATTTGCCTGCAGGTGGATTCAAATAATCATCTGGCTTTAATCCCACACGGAAACAAGGCTACTCGTTAGCACTAGCTAAATAACAATATGTGCCATCTGACCTCAGGAGGCTGAGAGGCATGACTCCTGGAGACTCCGAGGCAGGGACGGTCTCTGTATCAGTGACAGGTGTGGTAGCCGTGGTAGTGTCCTCCAGTGAGGAGCTCATAAAGGAGGTGGTGCTGGAAGCTGACGGACTGGTGGTGACGGGGGTTTGTGCCAACTGTTCCCCCTCTGTAACTTCCCCCTCACCTTCAGGTTCACTTCTCACACCTGTGAAAGAGATAAAAAAAGACAATTTGTAGCTTTATTCTATGTGGCTTGATTATAAACTGGACTCTTTTAGGGGTTTTGAACTGAAACTATCTGCATGTTCTCACCAGCCTTTGCTTTCCCACCACTAGGCTCCTCCAACAACCCATTTACAACCAGCTTGTAGATCATAGCCTGCGCCCTCTCCAGGTCTGCCAGTCCCAGGGCTCGCTTGATGGGGGAGCGCATTACTGCCCGCTTCACCATGTGACGCATGAGGAACTGCAGAGCTGCCCGCATCTCCACCTCGTCCTGGTATACTGGTGAGGTGGCAGCTGGGTTTCCACTGGTGCAGGTGTTCAGATCAGCGTTGTGCCCACTGGGGGTTGCTTCTGGTAACACCTGGAGGTCAGGACAGAACTGGTGGTTAGAAATCTCGTAATATTTAACTGAGATCTGTTTTTGATTTCACCAACTTCAGACAATGTATTTACATATGTCTTTAACATACTTTACACATGGTGGAAATGCAAACAAACGTTCACATTTCTGTAGAAGTCAAAGATTTCCTGTAAGAATTCCTATGAACTGCACAGCACGCCAAGTGCATGGACTGCTACAGCTTAAGTAAACGTACTCGGCAGGCTTCTTTACCTTTGGTATGAGGAGCAGCTCAGCATACTTGCTGCAGCTCAGCAGCGCACTGAGGGTCTTCATAGCTCCCAGGTAGAGGTAGGACAGCTGCACAGCATGGATCTCTGACTGAGTGGTGATGGAGGAAGGAGAGGGCTCGTGACTGCGGCAGCCATGATCATGGCCTTTCTTCCTGTTCCCATCAGCAGGAGCAGGAGCAGTGAAAAGTGTTTCATTCCCACCTACCCCGCCTCCAGCCACAGAGGAGATCTCACCCTCTGACTTTGAGTTGGGCGCCACGTGTGCTTTCACCTCATCGAGGCTGTGGGACACTCGTAGGTCAGAGGTTGTGGCAGCCGAAGGGGCTCCAACGTTATCTTTTGAGTCGTTACGGTTGTGCCCTTCGCCGTCGGTTTTCTCCTCGCCGCCGGTCGGCTCGTGCCCAGTAGAGGGTGTGTTGCGGTGCTTCTTCTCGTGGCGTCGGGCGCTGAGCTTTGTTGTAGTATCCTCGTGAATGCTGGTAAGGTAGGTGAGGTCCAACAACAAGGAGGCAGTGAGGCCACGGAAACGGGCCACATCAAAGGGCAAAGGCTCGCACGGGTCCAGGTTGTACAATGGAGTGTCACTAGGCGACCAGAAAGTTGGGAAGCTTTAATAGAAGGGAGTGGAGAGTGAAAAGAGACAAGGGAAGGAAACACAAAGTGAGGGAAAGGGTAGGAGAGAAAAGGCACAGCATGCGAGACAAATAAAAAGGTGCATTATGTGGGTATCACACGTGACCATCCCAGAAGAATGTACGGACGATGAGTCAAAAGCCGAGGTCAAGATGTGAAAGAGTAAAACGGAGCAAAGGAAAACAGAGGGTGACATGATGATTTCAAAGGAGGACACGGCAGAAAACATGAAGACACATCCAGAAATCACATCCAGCTCCATCTGTGATGTCGACACGTTCCAGTAGACACGTGTTCTTCAGCAACACGAACACGTGTCTAGAGGACAGCTCGTTTCACATGCCGTGCAAAGTGATGTTACTCTTTTTTAACCCCTGAAGTCATTATTCCAGAGAAACAGAACAACGGTTGCAGCCTAAGCCTTAACCTCCTAAGACCTGAACTCTTTCATGGCATACGTTCTTAACTTCTTCTACTATTTGGGCTGTTTGGAACTGATGAATGTAAAATCTTGCTCTCTAAGCGCCTGATATCCACATATGAGGGCATTCGTTTTGCATTTCGAACGGTGGCAGTGTAACGTCCTCGTAAGTGGATATCAGGCCCTTGTAGAGCAAAATTTAGTATTGTGGTCTAGACAACCCAAAATGTGATGTCCACATATGTGGATGCCAGGTCCTAGGGGGTAGAAGTCACTCGGCACTTTGTCTTACGTCTTTAGTATGTCCTAAACATATATGCTTTACATTTAATAAGAATAAGCCAATAAACAGCAGAAAACTTTTCATTCGATACCTGATAGTGACCTCGGCTTCATCCCACTGCACCTTAGCTGAGGTACTGCCTTCCTTCGTCACACCCAGCAGAGTAGCATGCCTCCCGGTCTGTTTGTGCACACATCTGCCTCCGACCCGAAGTCCTGCGTCCGCCCCCCCGATCACTGCCAGGACAGGCCACACCTCTGTGCAGAGGGTTCTCAAGTGGTGCTCCGACAGTTCCCCCAAGCCGTGCTGCCGTCCGTGGCGACCTCTCTCCTCATCTGTCCGTGTGGGCGTCTCCTGGCTTTCTCTCTGAGTGTCGTGCTCCTCGCGGCTCTGCACCGAGCGGCTCTTTTTCAGCCTCTGTCCTAGGCCGCCGCCAGAAGCGCCAGCTGACTCTCTAAAGCACAGTTTGATTTTGTGAAGTCGTTCAATCATAGTCTTGTTTATGCGATGGGTCCAGTGGTCAGTGCGATGTAGGATGCGGATCAGCTGTATGGTGGCTTCAGCCAGCACTGTGGCCACAGGGCTGCAGACAGGATCCCCAGGTAAGAGGTCTCGCGGTGTTCCCCTCATTTGCATGTCACATATCTTAACCTAGAGACCGAAGATAAAGACAAAACATATACAGTAACTAACATATACTCAGAAACAGATTCTTTGAGGTGATTTCAGGTGTTTTAAGTGTTTAATCAACGGTTGTTAGATGAATGTAGATACAAACAAGTGTCTGAGTAGTCAAAAATCCATAATGTAAATTTGACTATTCGCAATTCAACAATTCTCTTTTTGGGTCTCTCACAAAGATCCAAAGCTGACAGACCTCATCAATAAAAGATTTCATTTCATGTCGATGACATGTGCTAATTACTTGTGATTGGTGGACAATATTAGCCTACATGCAGGCACATGAACCAGCGTCATGTGTCACATTAGTTTTGCACTGCACGATAAAAAGATCTAACGACTTTAAAACTGTTTATTTACTGTTTAATTACTTTTTATAGTGAAGATGAAAACACACATTACAACATGTGAAATGACTTCACAGATATCTTAAATGAATATTTCCATTAATTAATTCAACACTCAGCCTCAAAGAGTGAATGTTCAAAAGGACGGACTCAGTCCAGCCACCTACCTTCTCTCCTGGATTACTGCTGTAGAACATCACACAGGGATAGAGCTCCGTGGCATCCACGTCCTCAAAGGCCAACTTGGGCTCCTTTGGAATCAAACGTTGATAGTTAGAGAAAGAACTATTGATTTCTAACAGGAGTCTAACTAAAGTCTTTTCACTTGCACGAATAACTGACTGCTCTCCTTTTTCACCCCTCACCTCTCCGTTCTTGCCAAAGGAGACCGTTCTTGCTTCCATATCCAGAACGCAGGTGATGAAATCTCCCTGAGTAAAGCTGCTAAGCGTCAGCGTTTGCTCCCCGTTATGATAGAGGTTTCCGCTATACGCTCGGTACAGCCACATATCCGATGTGGTGCGATGGTTGAAGTCGTGCACGGGCCATCGTGACACACCCACGCATGTCCCCTCGTTGCCTCGATTTTCCTTCACAATGTAGAACTACGGGTGACAACAAACAAACTCTGAAACACGTAGGGAGCAAAATAAAAACAAAGGCCACCTCTCCCACCTCTGTGTTACTGATATTTAAAAACAAAACTATGCTTTATTGTTATATAAGGAAATCGAGCAGAAAAATTGACTAAAAACAATATTAATCTTCTTTTTTGAGTGTTCTCCAACCAGTGTTGGGTCTGCGCCTCAGCAGACTCGCTGGTTCAGAGACTTATTCCCGTTAACGAAGCAAGACGAACAGCTCGACCAGTTCTTCTCACGCTAGCTTCCCTGCAGCCTTTTATTTCTGTGACACACAGTTTACACAAACAGTTACTTTGTTGAAATAAGTGGATTACACGGCGGTCTCTTCCTGTTTCATATGTTAGGCTACGCTCTCTCTGTTTTTGGTGATTCCACGCCGGTGGAAACCCAAACAAACACGCAATAAGAGGATCTACTGCCTGTGTCTCGATCTCACTGCCCATGTCACCTCTACTTGTGGCCGCATAATGACGTGAAGAAATGTTTTTAAAAATTATTGTTCAATAAATGATTTAATATGAAGGCAATAATGTTACAGGCATCGTCCTAAAGCATGCAGCCTGATGGGCAGTGTAGTCCGTGCTGCAGGGAGGATGGACTGCCATACCTGTGATGTGTCTGTGAGCGAGGAGGGAGAAAAAGGAAAAGTACGAGCTGTCACCGAGCAGAAACGGGAGCTGGAAGCATGTAAATATAATAATAACCACTGCAGCCTGATAAGCCCAGCTGTGAGTAAGCTGTTAAGACTCGACTGTACACCGTGTTCCTGTTTTCCTCCGAAACAATAAGTCAGTTGCAGCAGCCTTTCAACGCCTCTCTCTGTCTCTCGCTAGCAAAGTTGACCCAGACAACAAAGTAAAGCTAGTTTTCAGCTACGAGCCCGACACGAACCCGACGTATCAGCCAGAGGTCCCTTTACTACGGTTCAGAGCCGCGGACCTGTTTTATATACGCGAGGAATAGTTTCTATACGAGATCACTGCAGAAAGTGCAGCCTTACCTAATGTCCACCTACTGTTACTCATTTATATTAAGATTTAAACATCTAGTTGGTGTTGGTGTGGAGAGTAGCCTTCAGTAATAAATCACACAGCAGTAGTGCATTCATGTAGTTGTAAAAAGCATGATAATATATTAAGTAATCCAAAGTATTCAGAATACGTTACTCTCATTGAGTAATGTAACGGAATACGTTACAAAATACATTTTGGGACATGTAATCTGTAATCTGTAGTGGAATACATTTTAAAAGTAACCTTCCCAACACTGCCTCCAAGTAATAATGAGCCAATGAGAAAAATACTGTACCTTCCACTGGTAGCATCCAGAGGAGATGCCAGTCGAGGCCAGGCCGTAGCCTTTACCCCCGCTGCCGTGTGTCAGCCCCTGACTGTTTTCCACTACACAACACTGAGCCTTTTCTGGGTCAAAGGAAATTTCCTGAATGGGAAGGTTCTCATCTTCCTCCTCTGTATCTCCCTGTGAATTCAAGCAGCTGTCAGCTACATAAACAAATAAAGATAAAGATACATCCACTGCTAGGTGATCCTGCACACCTGTAGTTTAAGCTCCTGAACTTTTTCTTTAATCTGGATCGAGTGTTTGGTTTGAGCAATGGGACCTTCCCACATGCAGTCAGACAGCAGGGAGAAGAGCCGTTCAATGACCTAGAGGACAAGAAAATATTAAAGCTGGCGGACTGACGACAGTCATGTAGGACAAACTGAGGACTTGCACAGAGAAACTATTAGCACCTGTGTCATTTGGTCATCTTCCATGCTAGCCTCGCAGGCAGGCAGGACAGCCTCCAAAACATGAAGAGCTAGAAGCCGAGTTCTCAAGTTTCCCACCAGAGGAACACCTACATTTAATAACCAGAGGAAACGTCATTTTCACTTATGTTTATATTTGAGAAAGCACCATACACGATAGTAGCTTCTCGTACCTGAGCAGCACTTCTGCGCTGCAATGTTCAGCAGCACCTCAGTCCATTTGGGGGATGCCATCTTGGACTGGATGGCCTTGGAGGACACCACCCTCCTTAGGAAGACCAAGAAGTCACCGAGGTGCAGTTCAGCTGTATGCTGTTTGCGCAGCAACGCTGAAAATCAACAAAATTGCAATAAGTATAATAACAGGTTGCACTTATACAAACACAAAAACGGACTTTCTTTGAAGCAAATACTGTTCACACCACATCATCTAAACCTCATGCAAAAGTGCATCACTCATGTGAGTGTTGCTAAGTCAATGACTTATACATCTCAAGATTTAAAGAAAATAAACAAGCTTTAAACAAACACAGAGATGTAATGACAACAAACGCGAGTTTCACCTCTGAAGTCTTTCCTTTCAGAGTCGGCGCTGTCCTCATGTTTGCCATCTTCCTGCTCTTTTCCAGCATGAAGGAGACTAACTCCTGCCTGAGATAACAGGTTTTTCAGCTGACTGCAAAGCAGGTCCAGCAGTGACTGGACAACCTTGGGACTCAATTTGTCTGCATATGTTCTGCAAACACAAGGAAAGACACTGGTGTTGCACTGCTTCTGATTTACCAATTCCTCTACTGCACCTTGTTGAGCGCTTACCCCGTGCTGATGGCGAGTATTTGCAGCAGCCGTGTGGAGGCCACCTTCAGGGCAGTGCTGAGCTGAGACACGCCAGGTTTTTGCAGGAGCTGGAGGGGCTGCCCCAGCATGGTCTCTGTCCCGCAGAGCTGGGACAGCACATTGAGCAGCCCACTGGAGATGGCCAGAGACACATCCACTGGCTGGTAGCGAACGCTCAATGCAAACACAGTCACCAGCAGGAGGCGCTGCTGAGCTTCTACGGTGACAAATGAAAAGATCAAAGAAAGGGGTCAAATAGAAGCTCACAGGCTGGGCCTTGTGTTTTAGAGGTTTAGAGTAAGGCCGTTAAGTTCTCTTTTCAAAACACGATTGGAAACACAACTTCACATCTACCTGCAGGTGAAGCTATCGCCTGAAAGTTCTAATAAGCTTTCATAAATGTAAGCAGTACAGCTGTGAACACTCCTCAGTTCTATACAGCAGCACTCTGGATTACCTATGTGGTGCTTGTTTGCCTGAAGTGCTCTTTCCAGTGTGACAGACAGTTGCTGGTAAATCTTATGGACAGCCGTCTGGATTTCCATTTGGAGGCTCCTCTTTGCTGCTTTTACACCATCCTGTCAAAAACAAACGCACAGCCACACAAAGACAGAGTTCAAAACAACAAACCAGTCAGTCCTTTACACATACACTGAAGGTGAAAATACTGACGCACCTCTTCCTGTCAAACAAATACAGAGATCCTATATTGAGGATACAGCGCATCACAATGAACCGGTAAACTCCTTTTGTACTGCAGGCAGCCACTCTGAGTTTATGTGCCAGTGTACAGAACTTAATCCCTGAAATATTTTATATAAAAAAATAAGAACAGAAGGAAATCTCACCACTACCACTCACCCGTCAATATGTGTCTTATATGAGTGGACGAGTCAATGAATTCACTTCTATCCAATGACAGCATTACTAAAGTGAGTTTAGGATATCCTAAACTTTTCTGCTGGTAACCGCTGCTGTTTTTACCACTGTTAGCTGCTGCTAACTGATGGTATTGAAACTGAATTTGAAGGTGATTTAGCATTGTTGGACTCAAACGCTCGGTAAATAAATCCTCATACAATGTGAGAATACAATCAGACTCTTCATCAGAAACAAAATGTGACTTTTAGGCCTCGAGCCTAACGTTAGCTGGCATACTGTTAGCGTAGAGGCATGCTAATTGTCAGCTGTCCAGAGGCAAGATGGTTGCATGTCTAATCAGCAGACAAAGAGCAACTGCAACAATGTTGTGAATAAATAAGTGAGTTTATGGAGTTTCGTGTGTTAGAGCCCTGACCTCAGCTCAGCAGATGATGAAGTATCCATGTACAAATATTAAATGGTCATATATAGTTTAAAAGTGATCTTAAAAATATATAGTTTAAAAGTATAAGTGATCTTTAAATGAAAAGTATGTGGCTGGTCTCTTGAGACAGACACCCTCTCTATTTTTGATCAAACTTGTAGGCAGGGCTGGATCAGGTCACCCTAAATCAGTCCTTAGATATGGTGCTACAGAAAGGCTCAGGCTGCTATTTCTCCACGTCCTTCAGTTTATGTGCCACAACTGAATGCTAGATTTTGTCTGGTCACTTTTGGAGTTGCATTGCTGTGGAGATAATTAATATCAACTCCAGAAGAGTCAATTCTTCAATTTGGGCTTAATTAATAATATTTTAATAATTAATATATTAGTATAATATTGACTGACATACTGGTCAATATTAGGTTTTTGTCAATACATTGGTATCTGCATTTATACTGGCCAGTAAATGAAAATGTAAAAACGTAAATAAGACACACGACAGAGGCAACTTGTTATGAAGAGAAAACAAGATTAAAAAAGGTCATTGTCACGTTTGTTTTAGTAAGAACTCATAAATAGCTTCATATAACAAATTTTAGTGAAATCAGTTTGTCAATGATGTCAGCTGATACATTGTGTTTTTAAAACACCAGAAATCCACACAGTGCCTGGAGGAACGCAGAGCAAACAAAGGGACAAACTCAAACCCGAACAGATAACCCTGCAGATCAGAACCACATTCTGAGCATTAGCAGAGCGAGCGGGACTTCCTGGTGGTTCCAACACCCAAATGAACCAGTGATGTATTTGGATGATGATCGTTATTAACAATAATTACTTTTGCAAACCTGGATCTATGTTGCCATCAAGAAAGGACAGCAAAGTTGAATCATTTCATTGGCTGGCCCGCTACGTTACTACTGTGACACCTATTACGTACTTGGATTTTTTAACACACCAAATATCCTGTAAAGACATTAAGATGCAAATCTATGAGATAACAGATAATGCCTATCATCTCACAAATTGTCCAGACACTCGCAATTCGAGGTATTCTTCATCCTGTGATGAGAGCCATACCTGGTAATGATGCAGCTGCACGTTCTCTCTCTTCAGCACTCCAGTTCCCACAGTGCCAAGGCCAAAACAGCCAGCCAGGAACTGCAACCTGACAGAGGTGAGCAGTGAAGAGGACTGGAAGACTGCGCTGGATCGATCTGCATTGTTCAGTTGGCTGCCCTTCTCCTCCATGCCTGAGATCAACACCACGATCTGGTGGAGTGCTTCCAAACGCAGCTGGACACAGAACACATCCAACACTCAAATGAATATTCTGAATACTGACTGATAAGATAGACGTAATTAGCATCAGTAACACTGGTTTGTGAAGCCCTGTTACTAGGCCTGGAGCTGTAGATGTTTTTAGCCAATAAGTATAGCCTAAATAAGTCTTTACAAGGAAGCTATATTTGAGTGGGTACGGCAAGCCAGGAGGTAGAGCAACTGGGAGGTCGGTGGATCAATTCCCGGCTACTCTAGAGCAGCGTTTCCCAACCACTGTGCTGCGGCACATAGGTGTGCCGTTCCACCTGATTATTACTCGAAGCGATCGGTGTGAGTAACGGCCAGAACAATTACATTGTCTTCCACTAGAGGGGAGTACAACTACCTGCTCTAATTAAATGGGTTGTCAAATGCCAGTAAAACAGGAGAAGACGAAGAAGAAATTACATAATAGTCACGTAACAGCAATAGATAAATATCTGAAGAGGAAAAGTAGTCAGCCTGATCTGGTTCCTGGAGAAAATGCTGACCCAGATGAAGGCCTTAGGATGAGCAGTGGTCAGAAGAAAGCACAAAAGGTCTACTGGTGACAAACCGAGCCAGTTTCGCTACGCGTGGTGCTCAGGGGAAAATGATCAATATGCTTTTTGTGACATTGTTGTTTAATGGTGTGCTGTGTGATTTTTTTAATGTGAAATATGTGCCGTGGCTCCAAATGGTTGGGAAACACTGCTCTAGCATGTTAGGCAAGAGACTGAATCCAGAATGGATCCATTGAGCACAAATGTTAAACAACGTGCTTGTTCATAGCATAGTGTTTACTGAGGTCATGGCCGAGGGCTGTTTCCTCATAGAATCCTATAAGCCCAATAAGTCCTTTCAAAACCATGTTTTATCTACTAAAAACATGCAAACCACTTTTCAAACCTGGAAGGCACCAAACCACTACTGCACATGCTCTATATGACTTGCACAAATTCCCCCTTTTGCTACAAATAGATTCCAAATTTGTGAGAAACACAGATTTGTCCAAACAATGTCTGAAGACCAACTCCTGAGACGTGTGGTGCAGAACTATAGTTTTAATATTTCTTAAGTTTAATCATTTCTTAAGTGCAAAAATCATGGTATTGTAGATGTCAATTTTTCAAGGTACATGGATGGAGTGTTCCTTCAAGCTGCAGTTTGACTGTTTACTGGGTAAAATGTTTTCACTGGAAGCCTGTTTCCGCCACTAAATAAAAACAAAACAGCTAGTATCCATAACTCGAAATTTCGAGTTATTTTCTCGAAATTTCGAGTTATTTTCTCGAAATTTCGAGTTATTTTCTCGAAATTTCGAGTTAGCTCTGCCAATCAAAAATCTAGGTGAATGAGGTCGCTTTCTTGTTACCTGGAAGCATATGGCGCAGAGGAACGCGCACTCAAAAACGGATCCCAACAAATTGGCGCTTTGGCGAGTGCGTTTGCTGATAGTAACACCGTGTGATTCAGCTAATAACAAGGATTTCATCATTTGTGAAGCCAGGCTGAAAACACTCAGCAATCTGTGCATTCACGACTGGATCTAATACCGGTAGCTTAGCTGTAGCATTTGTAGCTGAGGCTTCAGCTTCCGGGTAACCAGGAAATGACGTCATTCACATAGATTACTGATTGGCAGCACTAACTCGAAATTTCGAGTTATTAACTCAAAATTTTGAGTTAATAACTCGAAATTTCGAGAAAGTGACTCGAAATTTTGAGTTATGGATCCTTTTTTTTTTAGTGGCGGAAACGGGCTTCCATAATGTTTTCCTGTATCCAGTGTGTGTGCTCTGTTCTGCCCAGCTCAGTCTTTTCTTTTTGTCTCAGACCATGAAGTCACCCCTCCACTGTGATGCTGACACTGGTGTTTGACAGGTACTATTTAATGCAGCTGCCAGTTTACAACCCGTGAGGTGTCTCGGTTTTAAACGACACATTCTCAGATGTTTGTCTTCTTGCACAGTTGGGCATCGGGCCTCCCACTCCTTTTTCTGCCTATTTTAGACTCAGTGTTTGTTGCTCCCTAAAGGGATATGGATAAGAGATTTTAAGTTTCTGCACAATTACTCACAATAGCCTTCCTTTCTCAGAAGAACAACTGACGACTGGAGAACAATAAAATGACTGATGCTTCGGACACTAAACTAACCTAAATAATGCTGTGCCATGGTTTCCAGCTGTGCAACACAACTGCAAAAGGTTTTTCTACTAATTTATTAGCCTTTTAAATGTATTGATTTGGATTAGCAGCCATACCAGGAAACTGATCCAGAGGACTGACAGCTGTTGATGATAGGCCTCTAAGCAAAACTGTAGAGACATTTTTAAAATATCATCTGACTAATTTGAATTGTTTTTAAATTTGATAACGTGTTCTTCTTTAGAAAATAAAAACCCAAACTTTTGACGAAGTCTTTATATCGTCAGTAGGAATCAGTCAGTTTTAGACTGAGTGAAATGAGAGACAGGCATTACAGATTTCGGTCTTCAACTGATTTGTTGAGAAGACAAAGAAAACGTATAAAATACTGTCAGCTCTGTTCTGAAAAGGTATAACCGTACAAAAAATAAAAATCCTCCACAAATGACTTAAAAACGTTTCATAGAAGAAAAGAACAAAATCAACTATGCTGACTTTGATTAACCATCATTTGGTTCGCCTTCTCGCTGAGGAATCGCTCACCTCTGCTCTGCTCTGCTGCTGTTCCATAGCCAGGATAATGGCTTGTGGGCTGGTGGACATACTTTCTTCTGGCTCCTTAAAAGCTGGAGCCAAGCCCACGTCACCACTGATGAAGCTGACCATGTTGTCGATGAGAGCGTGGATGCCCAGCGATCGGCTCAAGTCCAGGTCTGACTCTTCGTACGTTGAACTGTAACTCTGCTGACGGCTCAGCTTGGCCCGAAACCAGGACTCAGCCAGGGAGTCTGGTGAGCTGTGAAGGAGGCCTGAGAAGGAGAAGAAGATCCCGTTTGTTGTATTTGTGCACGCAGGGGATCTATTGAGGGATGTGCCGAGTAGCTTTGAAGCACTTAAAAGGAGCGCATTATTACTCGACCAGAGTTCATCAAATGGCCAAATGCCGAGTCTACATGCAGGCGCAAGCCTCCATTATGAGTTTGCCTGTGATGGATGCACCGAGTATCCAACACACACTGAGGAAGAATTCTGCGGCTGAGAAGTGGAATGGGAAACAGGCTAGCGCGTCCACACAACAACTCAGTCAAAGTATCAGCACTGATGACTTCTTCAAAAGTGCAACCCAGAAATTTCCATGAAAATTCTTCAAAGTAACAGATTACACTCTTCACGAGGAATGAGCCATCATAGTGCAAAGTAACAGTGCAAGCAGAAGAATGGCCTGAATGGAGACGTTTATGTGATCCTGATTTCTTTATCTTTCTTTTTTTCTTTACAAAATGAAAAGTTGAGGCTCAAAGAGGGCAGGGTGTGGGTATGGCATTACAGTCATGGAGTTATGAGTTAACAAGAGGAAGAAACATGCCATCGTTTACTTGCTTGAAGTTCCTCTTGTGTTTGGGGCTCAACTGCCCCAAAAGAAGCAAATAAACTATCCGTACAGGAATCAGAAGACAGAGAGACAAGAGTAACATATGAACGATAACAACCGAAAACCTGCATTGTCCTCTCTCCAAACATTAGCGGAGCAAATTAGCAGTCGGTCGTTACCTCTCTTTTTGTGGGAGAATGCCAAGTCTAGGTCAACATTTCTTCTTCCATTCTGAAAGAAAAAACAGAACAGTTCACAGATTTGCACATTATGTTAACCTGTGATTGTAAACTGGAGATTCAGGCGGCTGAGGTGGAGGACAAACAGACTCAAGGACAAGTTATGTGTGTGGGCTTTGCAGTTGTTGTGTGAAGGAAGGCAAACATTAAAGGTGGAATTCTAATGTCAACTGCGTGATTATTGGACTAACAGATGCCAGTACTGCAGCCACAGTCTGTGAATTAATCTGCCTGTGTGTGTGTGTGTGTGTGTGTGTGTGTGTGTGTGTGTGTGTGTGTGTGTGTGTGTGTAATGTTCCACATGTCAGAAGCAAGGGACACATTACAGTGAACATGATTTGCTTATTCACACTGGCAAAGGGTTAATGTGTTTACTACCATCATTACTGTGACCTTGTTCTCTGTGAGATTAAAATCACATTATTTTGTCAGTGTGTGGTGGGTCAAAGGAGAGCAACTAGTTCTCTGAGTTGTTTGTCAACTGTACTGCAGATGTAACAAAGAGTGTGTGCAGGCATTTGATTTACCAAAGTGTAACCTTCTTCATCTGACTCTGGCTGGGAGAGGTCAGACTCACTCCTGGACTTCATCAGTCTGTAACTTGGGCTGCTCTGCACTAAACGGCTCTCTGCGCTCAGACTCTCACTTCTGTACACAAACATATCACAGCACTGTTAAATCAATGAGAACAAGACAGCTAAACAACAACAATTAAACACCATGATTTTCACCTGAATGGTGGCGCATACAGCCACATCAGTTGTCTCCCTTTTTATAAAAAGGACAAAGTACAACACGGTGCTCGAAATACAAAACATTGGAATACTTTGACATTAAAAGGGTAAAGCAGAATTATGTTCACTACGAGAGGTTCTGAGATGCACACCGCAGGATCCAAACCACTATGGTTTGAAATGTGAGCTATAGCGTTACATTAACACAGTTTTTTTGTGTGCAGACTATTCTACTTTAATTCAGTAGGCTTAACAAACAAGAATGACAGGAATGATATTACACCATGATTAATTCAGCTGATCAGGTGCACACTCAATACGAGGCACAACAAGTGAGAAAGGCTGAACAAACAAACAAACAAAATGAATTACTGTCCAAAGACTTATGGAGTCGTGTAGACAACAAAAGTAGCCTGTGTGTTATCTTTTAGTCCTGTGCAGTCACCTTACCTCACTGATATTGGGCACTTAAGACTAGTCAGATCATGACTAACTGAAGACAGCTCTTGATGTGGAGCCTTACAGTTGTGGTCAGTACAGTTCCAGTACAACTATGTAATGTGCTCATTCCAATGCTTCACTGTAAAAGTTAACAAGAGCTTGGTGCAGGAATTCAGTGTTTTTCCACCCAAGTGACGACTCAAAAACACTTTTCAAAGCACTTTCATCAAACTACCTTTAAATAAGCAGATTTAAAGTAACTATAGAATATCAACCTAATGATAAACTGAGCTATATTAAATATAACTGAAATGTTACATTATAAAAGTATATGAAATAATTAAAATAAGTTGGGTTTTCTCTTAATTGTATATGGGGCCAGTAAAAGAGAAATGCACAATGAATGACTAAATTTCTTAGTAATGTGACTATGCCCAATGATAAAGGAATTCAATTTTTCAGGGATGTCAACAGTAGCATCCTATTTCTCTCCGACCTGGTCATGAAGCTGAGGCACTCCTGTGTCCCTGTAGCTAACTGAGTCTGAGCTTCTTCCTGGTTCTGCTTGGTCAGCTCGCCCAGTACAGGGCTGACTCCCAGTATCAGCAGAGCACAGCGGTGGATCACAGAGTTACAGGCTGCCGTGTAAAGGTCTTGGCCTTCTGGAAGACCCGTACTGCCCCTTCTGCCCTCTTGAGCCAGAATGGTGTCTTCCTCTCCACCTCCTCCTCCTCCTCCATTCCTGGAGCTGGAGCCCAGTCCTGTGCTGCTGCTGGCCCGCTCTCTCTCCCGACTGCGAGCCACCTCCCGCGCTGAGAGAAAACATTGAAAGATTTCTGTGTTGTGCCACAATCATACACACACACACGCATGCACACACACACACGCACACACAAAAAGACACACAAATAAGATGCAGTGTTAGAGGACAAAACAGCAGCCACAAAGAATTACTGGAGTCTAATATTCAATACTAAAGCCCGTGCTAAAGCAACACACTGCAAAGCCTTCGGCACATAAATGTCCATATATTACAGGACATGAATATCAAGTGAAGGTGTTCATAACAGTATGTCAGAAGTTTACAGCTTTAAAACTGCCAGATTACACATGCTCATAGGTGCTATGAAACACCTTCCTTCACAGAAAGCTAGCTGATAAACTGTTCGACTTAGAACTTCACAGCATGAGAAATATGCAGAAATCAGTTACAATGTTGCAGATTACAGCTGCACTTCCAAATACATTATACTAAGTAGTGAAACTGTTACAACCTGAATAATAACCATTTATTAATAATACATTCCTATTCATCCTAGAACCCTTTTACCAACACTACAGGCTACAGTGACAAGCAAAGTCAACAAAAACACAGATGAATAATACAGACAGGATTTTAAAAAGTTAACATTTATTCAGTTATGTCCTCCAATTGGCTACTGCTTTGCACACTAAACACACACACATGCAACTACAGGCACGAGTACTTACTTCCAGCTGTCATTACTTCATGCTCCCTGTCATCCTCTTCATCGTCTTGCTCTTGATGGCCTTCTTCTCTCTCACGGTCAACCCTCTCTTCAAGTTCTGCCTCCTCGTCAATGGTGCGTGTGAAAGAGTGCTCCTGGGGGTCCATGTCCAGAGAGTCCTGATTGTCGGAAATCTGGTCAAATGACAATAATGCCTGATTTTGGATACCATTGATATGACTATTAAGCTCGGTGGAAACGTGTGTATGCAGTTATGACCATAGTTTCGTGGACAAATACAGAATATATACACAATTTTGCCTCTGTACACCACCATAGTAAGTTTTAAATCAAATAATCAACATGTGCTTAAAGTACACACTTTACCTTCACAATAAATAGGTTTAGCAAAAACTTGGCATTAACTGTTTGGGAATTCCAGAGGTGGCTGTGGCTCATGTGGCGAAGCAGGCTGTCGATCAATCAGTCCCTGGCTACTACAGTCCATGTGTCCAAGCATCCTTGGGCAAGATACTGAACCCTGAGTTGCCCAAGATGCACCCATTGGAGTGCAAGTGGGTGTGTGACTGTTATATAAAGTACATAAATAAAATGTGTGTGATTGGGTGAATGAGACCTGTAGTAGAAAGCTCTTTGAGTTGTCAAAAATTGAAGAAAAGAAAAATAATGGCTCAATTACAGGGAGTGCAGAATTATTAGGCAAATGAGTATTTTGTCCACATCATCCTCTTCATGCATGTTGTCTTACTCCAAGCTGTATAGGCTCGAAAGCCTACTACCAATTAAGCATATTAGGATGTGTGAAGTCTGCATCCTTCAAGAAAAACATGATTTTCATGCAGGACAATGCTCCATCACACGCGTCCAAGTACTCCACAGCGTGGCTGGCAAGAAAGGGTATAAAAGAAGAAAAACTAATGACATGGCCTCCTTGTTCACCTGATCTGAACCCCATTGAGAACCTGTGGTCCATCATCAAATGTGAGATTTACAAGGAGGGAAAACAGTACACCTCTCTGAACAGTGTCTGGGAGGCTGTGGTTGCTGCTGCACGCAATGTTGATGGTGAACAGATCAAAACACTGACAGAATCCATGGATGGCAGGCTTTTGAGTGTCCTTGCAAAGAAAGGTGGCTATATTGGTCGCTGATTTGTTTTTGTTTTGTTTTTGAATGTCAGAAATGTATATTTGTGAATGTGGAGATGTTATATTGGTTTCACTGGTAAAAATAAATACATTGAAATGGGTATATATTTGTTTTTTGTTAAGTTGCCTAATAATTATGCACAGTAATAGTCACCTGCACACACAGATATCCCCCTAAAATAGCTAAAACTAAAAACAAACTAAAAACTACTTCCAAAAACATTCAGCTTTGATATTAATGAGTTTTTTGGGTTCATTGAGAACATGGTTGTTGTTCAATAATAAAATTATTCCTCAAAAATACAACTTGCCTAATAATTCTGCACTCCCTGTATATGGAGATGGTTCGGATTCAAAATGTCAGATGATCAGAAGAATAATGTGTTCTGTAGAGAATCCCTAAAAAATGTTCCGACAAAAGTTTCAAGCACTGCTAATCTTTTCCACCATTTACAACAGCGCCATAAAGTGCAGTATGAGGAGTGTGAAACTTTGCTGTATCACAGATCATAAAGCCTCCAGCACCGAAACAAACCACATTACAAAACTCCCATACCCATGCTGTGCCTTATGAGAAGTGGAGTGACAGTACTAAAGCAGCGGCCTATCATATCACTAAAGACATGGTCCCCATCTCAACTGTGGAACAAGAGGCCTTTATACAGCTGCTAAAAACCCTGACCGAACATACCAGATACCTAGTCAGAAGTACTTTGCAAGAGAAGTACGGCCAAAAGTATATGCTCACCAAAATGTCTCATTGACCAGCAGGGCCTGTGAGCCATACATGAATGTGACTACAGCCCAAGACCACACCGGAGAGCATATAGCTGAAGCCCTGCAGGATGCAATCACAAGCTGGAAGTTCAACCTGACGCTTTAACGACTGACAACGGGGCTAATACCTTGGTGGTTGAGGATGCAGTGCTTTTGTCACAGACTTCATGTGGCCATTGGTCAGTACAATACTGAATCAGCTGATTTGAAATAAGAAAAAAGATTACTAGGCATAACATTAAATAAAAATCTTATAGAATCACCGAAAGAGGTAAACATATCTACAGGGTGGGCCATTTATATGGATACACGGTAATAACATGGGAATGGTTGGTGATATTAAAGTCCTGTTTGTGGCACATTAGTATATGTGAGGGGGCAAACTCCTCAAGATGGGTGGTGACCATGGTGGCCATTTAGAAGTCGGCCATCTTGGATACAACTTTTGTTTTTTTCAATAGGAAGAGGGCCATGTGACACATCAAACTTATTGGTAATGTCACAAGAAAAACAATGGTGTGCTTGGTTTCAACGTAACTTTATTCTTTCATGAGTTATTTACAAGTTTCTCTTTGTTCACAGCCATTGACATGTCGAAGAGGTTAACATCGTGAGGAGCGGATCGAAATTGTGTTGATATCTGGTGAACGCAGTAACCGGGTCATTGCAGCAGATTTCAATGCAAGACACCCTACGAGACCACCCATCTCCCATGCTACAGTCAGCAAACTGCTCGCTAAGTTTCATGAAACTGGTTCAGTGTTGGACTGAAGTTGAACATCCCTTGGGCGGATATTAGCTACTCACAAATGGCACCCTTACAAACTCCAGCTACTGCAGCATCTCAACGAGGATGACCCAGATCGGCGCACAGAATTTGCAGAATGGGCAAAACAAAAATTGGAACAGGACCCTCAGTTCACGCAGAAGATTTTGTTCAGTGATGAGGCAAACTTTTATGTGAATGGTGAAGTTAACAAACAAAACCACCGCTATTGGTCTGACACTAACCCACATTGGATGGATCCCTCCAAGACTGTTGGAACAACAAAAGTGATGGTTTGGTGTGGTATATGGGGTAACAACGATAGTGGGTCCATTCTTCATCAATGGAAACCTCAAGGCCACTGGATATTTGAAATTGCTACATGATGAGTAGATGAACAGTTTCCTGGAAAGTGGATTGGTCGTCGTGGGCCAGTTGAATGGCCCCCAAGTCTCCCGATCTGACCCCCTTAGACTTTTATCTTTGGGGTCATCTGAAGGCAATTGTCTATGGTGTGAAGATACGAGATGTGCAGCACCTGAAACTACGGATACTGGATGCCTGTGCTGGCATTTCTCCTGCGGTGTTGCTATCAGTGTGTGAAGAGTGGGAGAAGAGGGTTGCATTGACAATCCAACACAATGGGCAGCACATTGAACACATTTTATAAGTGGTCAGAAACTTGTAAATAACTCATGAAAGAATAAAGTTACGTTGAAACCAAGCACACCATTGTTTTTCTTGTGACATTACCAATAAGTTTGATGTGTCACATGGCCCTCTTCCTATTGAAAAAACAAAAGTTGTATCCAAGATGGCCGACTTCTAAATGGCCACCATGGTCACACCAGTGTTGGTCAAGTTACTTGAAAAAAGTAATCAGTAACTAATTACTGATTACTTCCCCAAAAAAGTAATCCCGTTACTTTACTGATTACTTATTTTCAAAAGTAATTAATTACTTAGTTACTTAGTTACTTTTTAAAAACACGATTTACAACCTGAAGAGGTGATAAAGCGATAGATCTTTCAGCCCAATTCTACTTTTTCTAGCATAATCCATCATACAAAATGTAATCAAATGGAAAAGTCTCTTTTTAAAACTTGTTTTATTAGTTTTAATCTTTTAACTTTATGCATCAAGCAAAACATTTAATTATTGCAACATTCTCTGACTGGAAGAAATTAGTTTAACATTTAAACCTATTTTCTGCACATTCCAGCACATAAAATAAAATATTTTTTGTGTTTACACTCAGTCTTTCAAATAGATGCAAGTAAAACACAGCAGAAAATAAATAAAGTCAAAGACTCAGCGGTCCTGTTGCTCTATTTTCACCTGTAAAGCAGGAGCGGGGAGGCGGAGGGTTACCCTGGTGCAGGTGTGCCGCGGTCAGTGGAAGAATCCGCGAGTTTCTCTGTGAGTTTCCCATTACGTCGTAGCTACTCGGTGCTTGTTGGAAGTTTAGGGGTTTTTTTCGCTGTAAAAAGAAGTTTTCTTCCCACGCACAGCGGACACTCAATGTTTTTGTCACTTTTTATGGAATCAAACTCAAAGTAAGGTCAGTACTTCCACGCTTTAAACGCTGCACGCTCATACTCTCTCTGCACTCGATATGTGATCCATTGTTGATCTGCACACAGCTGTTGTCACGAACGTCGCACTCGCTTACGTCACTGTCGTGAGACATTCTCGCAAAAAATCACGGTTTTAGTAACGCAGTAACGCAGCGTTCCTACGGGAAAGTAACGGTAATCTAATTACCGTTTTTGCAATAGTAATCCCTTACTTTACTCGTTACTTGAAAAAAGTAATCAGATTACAGTTTACACGCTTATTAGCACAGTAGACGCGTAGCTGATGCTATAGCAGTGGGACGGAAAATAGTTGGGCATTTTAAACATTCCGCCTTAGCCTACTCCCGCCTCGAGGACATTCAGGGACAGCTCAACCAGCCAATAAAGAGACTGCAGCAGGACGTACAGACGCGCTGGAACAGCACGTATTACATGCTCCAGTCCCTCATTGAGCAAAAGCGAGTGCTGGGCTGTCCGAGCACGAACTCCCTGACTATCTCACCGCTCACCAATGGGCTCTTATGGAGACGACTGTTGCCATCCTCGCCCCCTTTGAGGAACTAACTAAAAAAGTGAGCAGCTACGACGCACTAGCCTCTGATGTCATCCCAGCTGTGACTGTGCTAGTGAGACTTCTAAACAGAGAAACAGACGAGGACCACGGCGTCAAGACAATGAAAGCAACCTTACTGGCAGCTGTCAAGAAGCGCTTCAGTGACGTCGAGACCAACCCACTGTACTTCATCTCCACCATACTGACCCAAGGTAAAGTCTGTGTGCTATAGGTATTCAATGAGTATAACTACAGTACTAAATGTAAGATTATTTTACATCTGAAATATTATATATTTGTAACTAAAATACACAAATACAAATGTATGCAATATATATAATATGAAATACA